TAGTTAGTGCCTCTAATTTGTTATCGCTGGCTTGCCACTGAGAGTAAAATTGACCATTTCAGTTCAGTGCCTAGGGGAAAGGTATTTAGTGCTATATCTGATACTAGCTGATTGTTTTAATGAAGTATCAAGGACTGATTTGGTGGGATTATAAGTACTATCTTCTCTACTTCTAAAGCCAGTCCTTTTATAGAGTAGTTAGGCATGCAGGTATAGTGCCTTTCAAAAAATAGGTATTAGCAAATCATGTTCTTCCTGAGAAAAATTGAAAAGGAAATTTACATTCTATTTTTTCAGTAATTTTCTGCCATAAGTTTGAAACAACAACAACAAAAAAGTCAATTTTATTGATTCTTTTTCAGTGGAAGAACATTTTGTCTCTGCATTTTGCTTTGATTTTCCCACAGAAATGCATAGTGACAAACCCCCAGAAAACAGAACAGAAATGATAGCTATTGCTCAGCCCTTCATAATAAAATACCATTTTGTTTTTATTTATACCTCTCCCTAAACTGCAAAACTAGAGTGACATGAATGTGTTTATATAGGAAAAAAAGTGATAATGTACTCAAAGTAGCAAATTTTTTATCATAGCTCTTTTATTTTAATGTAATAGACTTTGAATCCTGGATATGTAGGACTTCCATTCTAAGAATTGCCAGCACAAAAGAAGAAAATAGTGAGAGAAGCCAACATATGACAAACTGTCTTTTAAATGCTGGGATCTGGAAAAGTCTGCTGTGTCACATTATATTTGTGCATTTCCAACTGCAACATGCAGATGTATGCACATGAATAATTTTCGTCAGAAGAGCTCTAATCCCCTTGTAGAAAATAGAGTCAGTCAAATGTGTGAAGTTACAATATGTATTCATGGTTTGGTGATTGAAGCTTAAGATCAAGTTCTGGGACACTGACTTTGTTTTCAAATATCTTAAGTTTTTAGCATACGTGCTTGATTGAATAACTGTTCTGGGTTCATGCTCTCTGTTTGCTGTCTTCCACATGCATCTAGAAAATGTGGTTTGTTTGTTTTTTTAATATGCTGGATTGCTTTGATACTAAAGAGTGAGGTATAAATTATTGGTTTTGAACTCCATGGATTTTTCTTCTCTAATTATAAGATTGATAGTCTCTGTGACAGTATTGTGCAGGCTTGAAATGAAAGACAGAGTGAGAAGGTACACAGCTCAGAAGCAGTTGATTTCAATCTTCAATGCATTCACTAAATAATTCAGTATCACTAATGGAAATCTGATCTTAGCGCGGGAGTGGGATGCAGGGCACTCGGTTGCCAGGGTTTGGCAGCTTAATATCTTGGGAACAACAATGGAGTAAAAGGTGAAAACACCTTTAAACTATTGTAGAGTTCTCTTCTTTGCTTTCCTGGAGTCATGTTACGTTTTCCTGGAGCTGTTGTTGCTGATGGTGAGGAAAAGCAGTGAAAGAAATTGATATTTACAGTGTAACAAACAAACAAGGTAAGCTCAGCTTCAGTTGATCTAACTGCTGTGCAAGGGGTGGTGTTTACTTTTTGAAAAGAACAGCCTCATTCTACTCAGCAGTGGGACCGAAACCAGTGTAGATCTTCTTGCAAGAAAGTTTCATAAAGCCTTGTCCTCCGACTTTCTGAGCTTTAGAGTCAGAATTTTTTGAGGGCATCTTTGGAAATACTCCTTTTAGAAGCTCCAAGTAATCTCCTTCAGGTGGCTTGTGAAGTGATTACCTAACAGTAACAAAGAGCCTGGCTTTAAAGAGAGAATTTGGTGTTTACATTTTTTCAAAGGAAAAAAAAACCACCTAATTGAAAGGGAATTTATTATGGGCGTTTTCTGCATTTTGGCAAAAACTGTTTCTAAAGGTGAGAGCTCCTTTCCCCAAAATGGTCTTAAACTTTTACTGTTGGAATGGGGATTCTAATTAGGATCTAATACTTTTGGATTGTTTGTGAGAGCATTTACATGTGGCACCAATCAAAAATCCTTTTATAGCTTCTTATGGCCCTAACCTTCACTTTTCCTTTTTAAGAGATAGCTCAGCCTTGTCTTTCTCATTTAGGTTTCCAATTTTTACTTTGGGTAGCAAAGAAGGTACGTGAAGATAGAAACTGGACTTCTACAGCTTCCAGTCCATTACTCACCTCTGTTTTTTTGATCAGGGTGGAACCAGCAGCTACAAACAAATGCTGAGGGTTTTAAAGGTAAATATCCCTGACAATCTGCAGCAAATTCTCCTTTCTAGGTTACCTTTGTGTTCAGAGCAGAAAAGTAGTAGTCAAAAAGTATTTTTTCAGTAGGGGTTTCTCTACATGTCACTGTATATGTTGACTAGTCTGTAGTTCCAGAGATCATGTAGCAAATATATAATTGTCTGGGGGGAAAAAAAAAAGTCCAGAGAGACAAAACAGCAGAGAAGATCTGGAGATAAGATTCTCCAGCTTTACCATTCTTTTAATAATGAAAATATCCCTGTGGAAGTAAATGGTCATACTTATCTTTCATCCATCCCTTTTCTCCACTGTCCTGCTCTTTCCCACCAGGAACCAGCACCGTAGACACCTTTAAGGCTGTGGCTAACATATAGTTGATGACTTTTTATTGGCAAAAGAAGTTACATTGGTCCTTTCAAGACTGGTGTATTCACCAACTGTCTCAACTTCTGTGCCTTTATGAGTATCTCAACAGCAAAACTTCAGTCAGGAAATTGAAGTGTTATACTCCATTAATATCAAAGGTATCTAACACAGTGGGCAATTTGAGGCAAAGAATATTTTCCTGTGTTTTACACTGCTTGTTGCAAAGGAAACCTCAGTTAAGCCTCAAGGTGCCATTGAGACAAATAATATGAACATTAAAACGCATTTACTTTTTGTCAATCAAAAAGCTAAGTACTCTCTTTTTCAGTCATAGTCCGGACCATAACATGTCCTTCAAGAAGCTCTGCTAACCATGTCTGCAGTTTTATTTTGGAGATTCTGAGTCAAAACCCAAACCATATCACTCAAAACTAGTTCCTGTGCATGTCAACTCAGTTTCAAGAGAATAATTTCTGAGCTATGAAAAATTGTAGAAAATCTGTGACCAAATTTGGTCAAAGATTATCTGTTGGCATTGCTTCTAAAATTAAGCGGCCAAAATGAGGATTTTAACATCACGCGCATCTTTGTGAAAAGCAGTTGCTTTCTGCAGAAAGCTTCCACTGTTTTATGAAAATGTTAATTTTTCAGTGTTTTGGCTAAGACTCAGATTTCTGTAAGGAAAGTAAGAAATCCCTTGACCCACTTCGATTAAATCTTTTTTGGTTTCAATCAAGGTGAACTTACAGCCATTGTCCTCTTTCCTATTTTGTTACGCAGACAGGATTGATCACCTGAAATGTGCTATTGTGGTTGTATGGAGAATTTCTGGGGTCTGAAATGTGTCAACCACTACCAGGTGTTTTTTGATGGAAAGTTTCTTTCTCTAAATGTTTGTCGTGCTTAGCACCATGATGTCAGGATTTCACTGAGAAGCCCTCGGAAAGGTGCAAACTGGTATTTATTCAGCCTTGCATGCTCTGAAATATGAATGCTATTGAGTACTCATTTCCACTCATCCAGCTGCTGGAAAGTATATTCTCTCCATCTCAAGACATCACTTTACACTGCAAATCAAAATTGTTTTTTTAAATTACATCACTGTCATTAAAACTGCTGGTGGTGCAAATCCTGAACAGTCGCCATGCCAGGACTGAACACATAACTCTGTGATGAAAAGAAGATGCCAAGGTGTGGATGGAAGGGGGTAGTTTACTTTACTAAGAAGGACTCCAGGTGAGTGCAATTGCCTGCTCTGGGACTAGCTGTACAGTGCTTTTCATTGTCACAGATGGTAGGTGTTAGATGATGCAATGTGTATGGTGCCAGACAAATTACTTTTTTAGCTCATTCCTCTGGAAACAGGAGAAGAATCTGAACTGGATTTCTGTGCAAACCTGGAGCAGGAGCTGCAAGCTGCAAACCCAGCTGAGACCTAAGCAGTGAATGGACCCAGTCTTTCAAGTGAAGGCAGGGACTTGCTCTGGGGAAAGGGAATTACACAGAAATTGCCTGGAGTTTGGAACAAGTCCACTTAGTTTTAAATTAAGCTGTGGATTGGGGAACACTGTTATTCAATGGATATAATGAACCTAAAAGTTGGAAAAGTCTGCTCCTAAATGAAAGCCTTGATGCAACTCCAGCAACCGCTACAACCAGAAGTGTTGAAACGCCATGACAAAAGTTGTTCTCATGCTGCTCTCAGGCCACGTTGAAATTAAAGTCTAGGGGAGGGGGCTCAGTTTGGTGAATTTTTTGTTTGTTTGTTTGTTTTGTTGGGTTTTTTTGTTTAGTTTGATTTTGTTTGGGTTTTTGTTTGTGGTTTTTTTTGTTTGTTTGTTTTGTTTTATTTTGTTTGTTTTGTTTCGTTTGGTTGCTTTTTTCTTGCTTGTTTCTCACTCCTCAACAGTATTTCCAATCCAACACGGCCCCGGTCAAAATGGCAAGCTCGAAGTCAGCGAGGCTAAAGTTAAAGCTCCCCAAACTCTGACAGTCAAAGACGATCCGGGCAAAAGCTGCTGTGGATGTTTGTACCTGCAAAGGCAGCTGAAGCCCCGACGAGCCCCCCGCACAGGCCGGGGGGTGGGTACCATGAGGTGAACCCCCCGACCCTCGGCTCCCCCTCTCGCTGGGTATGGTGAGGAAGAGGAGGGGAAGCTGCCTGGGCTAACAAACCCAGTAGGGGCACCCGGGCCAGCCCCGATGCCGCGGGGTCCGCGCCGCCCCGCCGGGCTGTCCCCCGGTGCGCTCCCCTGGCGGGGGGAGCAGGGGGAGCTGCCGCCGAGCCCCGGCGGAGCGGAGCGGCCCCGTCCCGCCCCCTGCCCACCCCCGCACCCGCCCAGCCCCGGCGGCGGGGGCGAGGCTGCCCCGCGGGTGACCCGCCCGGCGGGCGCGCCCCCTCCGCATCACACGAGGGGGCAGCGCGGCTGCTCGCTCTGCCCCGGCGCCCGCCTGCCTCCCTCCTCTCGCCGCCTCGCCGCAGCCCGGGCTCCGCCGAGTCAAAGCGCGGATCAGGTTCCCTGCCTCCAGTATAAAAATCTCGGCGAGAAACCTCCGGCGGGAGAGAGAGACGGGGCGCGGGCGGAGCGGGGCGAGCCCGTCCGTGGGGAAGCGAAGGGACGCGCGGCGGCCGCACCAGCCGCTGCTCACCGGGGACGGTCGCTGCTCGCCCCTTTCAGCTGCGCGAGAAGAGCTTTTGGACGCCCGAAGTAAGTCCGAGGCGGCGGCGGGGGCTCCCAGGGGGAGTGTGCCCGAGGGATGGTACCCCCCTAGCACATCTCCTCGGGTCTGACAGCGCTCGCTCCCCCAGGGGCAGGGTGGGAAGCACTTCGCCCTTCCCTGTCTTGGCTCCGGGACACTTGCCCCAGCAGGGCTCCGCAGAGGGTGGCCGGACAGAGGGGCCGTGGGGCTGGGTGGGCGCTCGATCCCAGCGGGCTGGTGGCGAGTACCTGATAGCACGGAGACATCTGCCCGAGGGGCAGACGGGGGACGAGGTCTGGGGGTGTCCGGGAGCACCCCGGGCACGGGACCGCGCAGTGCCGTGGTGGGGCGTCGGCGGCGGGTCGGTACGTGGGAGCGCTTAAATGCCCAGGCGGGTGAGAGGGAGAGAGGTGCCGGTGGGTGACGTGACCCAGAGGGAAAGGGAGGCAGGAGTCCTCGGGCGGGTCCATTTAGAGAGGATAAAAGGGCAGCGGAGTGACCCCGGAGCGGCAAACCCCCTGCGGGTCCCAGTTACCGTGTGCCAGCAATGTCCCTGCTGAGACTCGGGATAACGAGTTTAAGTTGTACTTTCAGACCGAACACTGCAACTGATATTTTTTCCTGGGACTTTGCTTTCTTATCCCTAGTTTACTTCTGGTGGAACAACTGAATCTAGCAAGTGCTGATAGATCTATTTAAAACTGCCATTGTTAGTTTGTGTCTTCTGCCTCCTCCAGAGGGATGGGTTGGGAGAAAGTCTGAGTTAACAATGGTGAAAACACAGTTTCCTCTTTGTTGAGCATATATGTTATTCTGCAAATCTGTTGTGGTCTCCAGTATTGGTGCTTCTAGCTCCTTACCCTCCTTTCCCCCCTCCTTTTTAAAAGTAGAACTTTTCAGGGGGGAAATGTAGTCTTCATTCTTTGAGAGCTTATCTGCTCCTTTTGCATCTTCCAGTTGGCTGTCGCACATCTTTCTCTTCCACACTGCAAGTGGCTTTTGGTGAATGTCTACTGTGCTTTAGCTTAGAGATACACTTGGAATTTGGCTTCTAGGATGTAAACCTTAGAGACTAGTTGGTTCTTGGGAACATGGTGGCATGTTAAATCTTTCTCTGTGAGATAACCCTGCATCTATGGATAGTGTTTTAATTAGATCCTGTTTGCTTTAAATTACTTGTATTACTGTAGAGGAAGGCTTTACCTGTGGCCATCAAGTCTTGAATTCTCTGCCCTTTCCTTGTTTTGCCTTCAGGCATTGATTTTTTTTTTTTTAGCTTTTAGCAAAGCCCAACTTTTTTTAGCAAGAAATAGTAGACTGAGTGTGTAACTAACGGTATTAGGAAGAAGGAGGGAAGGGCTGGGGAGAGAAAGAGAGTAGGAAAGGAAAGTTGTTACAAAGAAATAATTTTACTTGGTCTGAACAGTGGTCTTGAGCTGATTACAAAACAAATTTAATGTTTCTGTGTGTTTGTTTTGTTTATTTCAGTTTCCTTCTTGCAAAGGAATAAAAATAAAATAAAAAGTCTGAACTTTTAATCATGAGAAATGGTTTGAAGACAAAAAGGAACCAAGTATTTGTGACAGAATTTATTAATTTGCTGGAGAAATTAAAATTTGGAAGTGCACGGACGGGGTACTTCATTGGACTAAAAAAAACCCCCAAACCCCTAAACCAACCCAAAAAAGCAGCAGCAAAAAAACTTGCTGCATAATTTAGCGACTTTTCCTAAAGAGGAGGAAAGCAGATGTTTAATATACTCCTGTCTTCAGGCTAAGCTAAACTCTTTGGTGACTTATTACACACGAAGCTTTGTGTGAAATTGAAGGAGCAAAATTTACTGACTTTAGCACACTCCCGAGCCAGCTCTTGGGTGAGAAAAAGAGAAACCAGCAACAAATCTTTTTTTTTTTTTTTTTTTTTTTACAATTGATAAACCTTTTTTTATAGTGTAGAAAAGGCCTAAGAAAAACAGACTTTTTGCAGTTATCCAGATGTCTATCCCCAGATATTTGAGATGCAGTTTGTGGCTGATACACCCTTACCAGCAGAAGATTTGTCTTGCTATAGTATTACGAAACATAGCCCTACTATCCCAGTACCATATGCCTGCCTGTGTTCTACACCCATAATGACACTGGGGACACTTTGGAGGCTTATCTTATTCCTGACACAGCTGTACTGATGGATGTTTTGTGTAGATTAATTTTTCTGCCACAAATGTGAATATTATTACTTAGTGGACTTCTAGCAGTCATGGATCCAGCGAGGTCCTTCCCTGACACATCCTCTATTTCTTCTTGATTGTTCTGGGAATAGTTGTTACTGAGTGCTCAGGTAATAGTTTAAAATAATACTTTACAGAAGCTCTGAAAATGCACTCTTTCTGTTTTGTTTTTGTTTGTTTGTATTTTTTTTTGGGGGGGGGGGGCGTTGTTCGGATTTTTTATTTTGTTGTTGTTGATTTCCTTTTTTTTTTTTTTGCCAGGAAAGATACAATTTGTCTAGTGTTATAGTGTAACAAGTGTTTTAGTGTAACACTAGGGTATTAGGGATGGAGTTGGCATGGCTCATTGCTCCTGCTCTGTTCAGGCCCCCTCATTACCTACATTCCCAACCGTGGCGTTTTCTGTGGGAATTGGTCTTTAACAATGTCTGCTTTGCTTCGATATTTATAACCTCTTGCTGATCAGTGTATCAAAAGCATTTTCATTTAGAGGATGCATTTCAGGACTTTAATTGAGGAAATCTCTTTGTTTCAAGCCTCTATAATAAACCATTCAAATCGCTGTCTTTGAACGAACTAGGTCACTGTAACGCGTGCACACATAGAGTGATTCTCATCTGCTTAGGGTAGCTGAAACTCAGTTGAGCCATATCCCTGGTGAGCTTGTCCCTGATTTATCCTTCTTGGACTGGCTTGTTCACAGGGAGCTTATGCTGAAAATTCACTGCTGGAGGTCATTCTCCATTCTTGGCATCTCTGGCAGCCTTAAGCTTAAATTGCAGTCTCGTTTTCTGTCCAATCAATACCACTCTTATGTCGCTGAGTTTCCATGGTGCCCCCAATCTTCTGTCTACATATTGATGTCTGACAGCAGGAATAGCATTCTGTGTCACTATATATACTTACTAAACCTGTCAAAACTATTTAGGGTCTGTCGCACTAATTTATATCCATATCCTGATATTATTTGTATCTGTTGAGCTTTGACTGATGGAACTCGCTGCACTAAGGAATCAGCCCCAACAATGCACTCCAGGGATGGCTCAAGGAATGGATGTTTTGAGAAAGGGGAAAAAGACTCTCTTCTAGAGTAGCTGGGGTAGTCTAGAATCCTTTGAGCACAAAAGAGTCATTTTGAAAACATCCAAGTCTCAATGGCTCCAAGTTAATGCTTTGGAAATCATTCTTCATTGTGCTGCTCTGAATGCACAGAGGGTCCTCTCTGATGGAGCCATGCAGAGGAAAATAAAAAAGTGGGCATTGTCAAGTGTTCAATGTGCATTTAATGAGAGGTGGGGAAAATTTGAGTCAGTTGTCTTACATCAGTTTCTTCAGCAGAAACACTGTGGAAAAATTAAATTAAAGGAGCCAACAATGTCTTCTGTAATGTGGATGTTCTTGTTTTACTGCAATAACTCACAGAGTGCAGTAGTTATGTAAGAAATGATATGGTGGTGTTTCTGTGGACTGACATAGCAGCAGCTAAACTAGGTGAGAAAAGGCATATCTTTTGTGTATCACTAAATTTCAAGGTACTGATTCTTGTTATTCATGCCAACAGTAATAGACTCTAAAAAAAACAATGGATTTTTTTTTTATTTAAATATGCTTTGCAAACTGTTGTATTTGAATTGAATGGAAGTGGTCATCAGCTGAAGAAACTCTTTAATCTCACTACCTTTAACATGAGATTGATCCAACTCTTGAAATAAAAACTGGCAGTCGGTATGGGATTTGTTGGTTAAAATTTTTCTTGTTCTGAGTTGCCGGAAGAACTGATTTTATGATGTCAAGTTCATCAATACTTTTCAGACACTCTTCAGGCTCCTACAGTCTTCTCACTAACGAATACTTTCACTCGAAGACTTAAAAAGCCCCATTGCAGGTGGTAGTATTAAAGTAGTTCAGTTTATGTTTTCAGCTATGGTTTACTCTACCATCATGGAAAGTGTCAGTAGGACTTTACCAAACTAGATGATCTCTTGGCCAATACGTCTTACCTTCTTTTATTCCAAGGAGTAGAATCACAGAGCCATTATAATATCTGGCTCTGCCTTCTGCAGTGGCACCATGATGGTTCTGTTGTTTTTTAATTTTTTTTTAATTTCCTTCCTTGCTTATATGTGGGAGTGGCTTTGTAAAAGCTGTAGTCATCTTGCAGACTACTTTTTAATCTTTTTCAGACTGAAGATTGAGAGGACACAGCTGTAGGCAGTTTCATGGGAGATGAGAAGGGAGAATGTGAATGTAATGAAGAGCTAACTATATTACTGATACAGCCAGGGGATTTTTCACCCTCACCATCCCTCTACTCCAAAAGGCCACTACCCTTCCTTGCACATTCTGGTTTCAATGTGGATAACCTCTGGAGGTGAGGAATGGAGCTAACTGTGTCTGAGGCAAAATACAGTTCCATGAAGTTAAGCAAAATATATTAATGTGTTATTTTGGGCCCTAGGAGGACACTGCTCAGTCAGTGCCACTGATTGCATGGCAGCTGCAAGAGAGGGGTAAAGACTTAGAGTAGAAGAGCATTACAGGAGTTGGGGACTTTCTGATAAAAATAGTCTCTGAAAATAAATAGTGCTTGGGGCTCCAGTACACTGCCATTTAGCAAACTGTAAAGTTCAATTTTAAACTGGGCCTTCCTCCTTTGAGGCCTGCCAGCACTATTTCAGAGCTCATTAAAGATTTCACAAGAGTATTATAAAAATCTTCTCATTAGTTTCTACAGTTTCAGTGTAGCTTGGACCTTGTAAACATCCCCTATTTTGTTGTAGA